TGCTTGAAGGCAATTACGTTCCGCAAGAGATAGCTCGTATGGTTGCTTGTGCTGCAGCTAGCATACGTCATTCAGCAAGACGGCGTCCTAGAATGAGCCAGGTAAGCAAAAATTTTCGAATCATCTTGATTTTACCTTTCGATATGTTACGTATTAATACAAACGTATTTTCTTGAAATATATGTACTTCCCACATTGTTCGTATTTCGTATAAGTGTTTTCATATTAGGTGTTCCACTATCAAATAACTATACTATACCCGGTGGAGTATACATCGGTAAATGCCGTGAAGATCTGCCCTTCATCCAATATTTTTCGAATTGCATGAACGGTCGATGTTATCTTTACCTAGTATACTCCATTCGGATGTATCATCTAATAGAACGGTGTTCCATATTATAAATATGGACGAGCTAAATATAATGTGGCCATAATATCTGAATGGCAGTGGCGGAGCCAACTTATGGCCACGGGGCCATGGCCCCGTGGCTTATACAAAACCTAGTATTTTAATCATAAATTTGTTATTTTACGAGTAGTGTAGTATTCTCAGCTCCAAAATAAAACTTCTAGTGTATATTTGATTCACACGAAGATAAAAATCATGGCTTTGTTGCTGTTTGAATGTGCGATATAACATGGATTCGAATTAGATGATATTCCGAAGTCGACAATAAACTAGAAAAAATAAAGTGCGCTACGTCGAGCTATAATTAATACTAAGGGATGGAAATTGAAACATAATTTCCAATCTCCCTTGATTCCTATCTAAGTTTTTTCGATTTCGGCACAATATTTCATTCCAAATTCAGAAAATCTTTCGATTTTTCAGAATTTTTTGGATTGAAATTGGAAAAAAATTATTAATTTTTTTGAAAATTATGACTTTTTTCTTCTGGAAATTACATTTATAATATCAAAATTGTTATGTATTTACATCTTCTTGAAACAGATTGGAATTTGAGTATTTAGTTTTTCACTTCCGAATATTTTTGGTAATTTTTCTGAAAGGGCTAATTGCAGTCCGATCAGTTCCATTTCCACCTTAATTAAAACACAACGGTTCATTATTTACATCAGATTGCACGTGCATTGGAAGGAGATTCGTCACTAGACGACTTGAACGAAGGCGTAAAACCGGGGCAAAGCAATGTGTACAATCCCAACGGAAGCAGAGAGGGGGCCTACGACACCGGGGCCTACAATGCCGACATGGTGAAGTTCCGACAGATGGTGATGTCATCCCAAGATTTCAACAGCAGTGATTACGGAACGAGCGAATACGGGCTCAACCCTTCTTCTTCTAGCAGCGAAGAGATGGGAAAATCGAGAACACAACATGCATCCACGAAGACAGATAACTAATTAATAAATTAAATAGCACCACGATTTGAAAAAAAAAAAAAAAAGAATTGTGAGTGACACAAATTTCATTTTCGAGTTGCTCGTGTGGTCGGAGAACTCGTATGGCACAAAGTTTTGTGGGGTTGTCGGAAATATTTCGGAGTGCAAAACTGCGAATGATGAATTTTTTCTTGGGGATGTAATTTCAGAGAGTTTTTATACATGAAGTAGGAATTGGATTCTTTTTATTTCATGAAATGGTTGTGTAATGCCCTACTATGAACTGAAGATGCTATGACTTGCATATTATTAATTATTAAAAATTTAAAAAGTATTAAGTATATTAAATATTTCGCCTTTTGAATATTTGCGATTCGAGTCTAGTAGTTTGAATATTTTTTGTTTGTTGTTACCTATTCTTTTTTGTTTTTTTTTCAATCGAGCTCGATCTTCATAGCCTATGAAACGGAAAATGTTGATCAAACGTGGTTCATTTTGTTAACAAATTGAAACGAGCTTCTACGAACGATCTCGAATCAAGTATCTATTAGTTTGGTCAGATTTCCAGTCCTTTTTTATGAACTATTTATAAAGTGTTGGGTTATTTTAATAAAAACAATATATTTTATTATAAAATATAATAATGACTTTTACCAATTTTATGAGGGTCATTAGACCAGTATTTTGAAACTTTCAAAGTCATTATTCTCCTACATAAAACACCATAAATTCTATATAAAGGGGGCTTTATGGCTTGGTAAATGGAGGTGAAAGAAGAGTGAAGAGAAAAAGAAACATTTTTCATCTATACTATATACATATATTTTGAGCTCTTGTTGTGTGTCGGGTGTAAACTTCTACTTCACTCGAACGTGCAATTTCGGTGAAGTTACAGCGGAGAGATAGACTGGGCTGTTGTATCCCATAGGCGCCACGAATCGGAACCTTTTTGCACCTCATTAGAGAATGGGTCGTGAAATTCGTCTTAAGAGAGCGACCTAATCCGCGCCTCACCTTGCCTATCTCCATATTATTGTGTATATTATTGCAGCTAATCATCAACTAAGAAAAGAGAGAACAAATAGAGGACAAGCTTCAATCCGCAAATTTGGTGATCAATCGTCAAAGTGCAGCCCGAGTTCCAACAATTTAAGACGAATTTTGATCCCGTAAAGATGAGCTTTGACGATGATCCAAAAGAGCAACCATTGTTGATGAAAGGGAGACAATTCATTTTATTTTATTAATATCTTGTGTTGACCAAATAAAATTAATGATCTTATTTTTGTTGTAGGAGAATTTTTATGCAATTCACGAGTTTATACTTCGAGGCCATTTTTGGACATGATAATATCCGAATTTGGGAATGTGTAAAACACGAAAGTTTTATGAATTTCTGTTGGCTGTCCGAAACATCTTGAATCACTGAAATCGGACATTGAACGAGAGAGATACGCTCCAAATACTGAGCACTGCTGCAGCTGCCAAATTGTGTGCGTTTTGGAGATATCGAAAAAAAATTGATAGTTGAGAATTATCAAATCGGGTACGTTCTTCGTTTATTCATAGCATTATGATAATATTGCATAATATTTGTGTTGATGATTTGTGTGAAACTGGGATTAACTGTTCTGTACATATGCGAGTTATATGCATAAGAAATTTTGTTTCCAGTTTGAGCACATAGAACTACATGAAACTAATTATGATTAATGAAAATAAATAAATTATCTACTGGTATTCAATGCATTAATTTCACGTGTTTGACTGCGTCTCATATATTTGAAATATGCATTACTGTTATTTTTAGAGTAAACTGCAAAAGTACCCCTGTGTAATCTCCAAATAGCAAAAACCCCCCTATGATAAATAAACTAGCAAAAACCCCCCTGTGAAATTTAGTCAAAGGCAAAAACCCCCCCGGTTGACTTAAGTGCGGCTCACTCGCGGGTTGCGCGACTGATAGTAGGTTTTTGGACGTGAAATGACGAAATTGTCCATAAAAATGTATTTATATGTATATATATTATAAGTATATATATTTTCCTTTTAATTTGATTGTTTAGACATTAAAATATTGTTAAAAAATAGTAAATAATTAAATTTAAAAATTATTAAAAATTTGTTAATCAAATTAAGTATAGATTTTTTTTAATATATAATAACGGAATTTAAATTTTCTTTTGATGTAGCGATAATTTAAAATATATACAAAAACTATGTGATAATAAAAACAAAAATAAATTAAAGACCCCATTGTACCTTTATAATTAAGATATAATAAAAATAAAATAATTAAAATATTTTGAAAAATATAAGAATTTATTAATTGCAAAATCCCGAGGGTATTTGTGTCTTATGAAGTCAACACTCAAATGATAAATGGACCGAGTGTGCTATTTAAATAATTTCACAGGGGGGCTTTTGTCAGTTTATTTATCATAGGGGGGTTTTCGCTATTTAGAGATTACACAGGGGTACTTTTTACAGTTTACTCGTCATTTTTATAGTGGACTTAAAAGAAATTATCTGTTACAACATTACGAGCACTTATCATGGGTTTATTTGCTATTAAAATTGAAAAGATATAAAATAAAGATTGAAACTTTTTTCTTGTATCCTATCGGATACAACCGTTTTCCGAAAGTTTTAAAGCATTAACAATTATTATTTATTTGCTAGAGTAATGGGCATATGTTAAAAATAAATTAATATTTACTGCACTAATATTTGTGCTATTATTTATGTGGATTAAATGATTGTCAATATTGAAGTATTGTTACTCTAGTGGGGGTTTATGAATAGTAGAAATATTAACATGAAATAGTGAGGGTATTACAACTACCTCAAATGTGCAAACGAGCATGATCATATAGTTGATATATTCTATCTTGATCCATGATTCATTAAGTAGAGTTAATATTGCGCGTGTATAAACATCTTATATGTTGATCTATATGCTTTTAATATTGAAAAATAGTGGAGGTTTTTAGTGTCTACTTATATGAGCATGTTTTAATTGATTTTAATGTGGTCTAAGTTTAATTGTTCATTTTATGATTGCAAATTGAAAAAATCAATTTGTGATTTGTGAAGTGAAACGTTTTTTGAAAGTTTCAATATTGTTGGTTATTGAAAATCTAAATAAGAGGAATTATATTCTTACTTGATTACATGTTTTCTTTGTGTGAATGAGCTATATCAATAATTTATAAGTCAAAATTCATATCAATTTTGATTGATTGTTTTGACATTAGCCTGTGAAGAGGCCGGTTGATACCGAATGTGATACATAAAATTCTAGTGAGAATAAATCAAATGTTGTGCGTTGATAATTATGATCGAGAATAAATCAAATGCTTTGTGCTTTGATGATAAATGAGATTGAAAAACTGCAGTTGGCATATTGCGAGAATCTTTTAATGGGATCCGGAACCATTAAAAGAAAAAACAGTACTGTGAATATAATATTAAATATTTCTTTTAAGAAAAAAAAAAGTCGATTATCAGTTAAATAACTGCCGCAGACAATAATTTAGCAGCCTAGACAGTAATATAATTAAAATATTTTTCTTAAGAAAGAAAAAAATAATTAACAGTTAAATTACTGTCTCCGACAGTTAAATAACTGCGGGATATAGTAATTTAGCATCCAAGACAGTAATATTTTTTTCAAGAATTTTTTTTTGAAAAAAAACAGAAAAAAAAAGTCAACGCCGGAGACCCGGCGTGGTCAACGGCGGTTGACCTACCGCAAAAAAAAAGTCTTCATAACAAAAAAAAGTCAATGCCGTAGACCAGCGGTCAACGGCGGCTGACCGGCGGTCTCCGGTGGTGGCGGGTCAAAATTGAAATTATAGTCAAAATTGGTTAATTGGTGAAATTGGGGTGTAAATCATGAAAGTGGTGTTGAATTGAGTTTCAATGAATTGGGGGTAATTTTGGTATATATAAAATGGTTTTTCTTATTTGCAAATAAGTTTGAATGAACTCGAAATATTTGAAAGACAAAAAAGTTGGATGTCCATTTTTTAATTAAGTGCTCTTGTCATGGGCCTCCTTGCAATTAACCCTATAAATTAATAATCCTTGTCAAAATACAAATTAATGATATAATTTTCTCTTATCAGTCAGTCGCACAAGATTTTCCATTATCGACGCGCTTTCCTTCACCATAATTACTCATTTACCTTTTTGGTTTAAGAAAATTATTAGTGAAATTGAAGATCGATAACTATATATTATGATCTTAGATTATTAAGAATTACAAACAATAATATGATAATAATAATATTACAACGCCAGTGTAATATAAAATTATAAATTAAGCACTAATTATTACCTATAAGTAGTTAATTTGGATATTATTATGAAGTGACTAACTCAAGTTACTTGAATAAATATGTCCTATTGTATGGAATTGTCTCTAGCTCTCTGTTTTTTTAATTAGGGGTCTTTGCAAATAAGCCCATCAATGAGTATTTATTCATAAAGAGATCCAGACAAAAAACTCCTTTACAAATAAGTCCACACATGGTCCAGATTTTTGTAAAAGACTAAAACAGCCCCTCATACTTTAATATGCTCTAATTTTCCTTAATTTAATTTAACCTCAATTTGACCCCAAATTTTACAAATTATTTAATTTTGACCCAAAACCTTTTTTTTCAAATTTTTTTTGCCGTCGGATTCCGGCATTGATTTTTGATTTTTTTTATTTTATTTTTTTTCCTTCCGGATTTTTTCGCCGGTTTTCGGCGTTGTCTTTTTTTTTTTTCCTGATTTTTCGGCCACCGGTTTCTGGCGGTCAACGCCGGTCACTGGCGATGATTTTTTTTTTCCTTTAACATTTTTTTTCTTCGTTTAAACAACAATATTGCTATGATTGACAGTAGTATTAACTATATTACTGTTAAACACAGTAAAATTAACTATACTACAATTTAACACAGTAATATTGCTATATTAATCTCTAGCACAATAATATTAACACAACAAAATACCTAATAACTAATGTAAACATAATAAAAAGTCAAAAGAATTAATAT